TATCGATTGTTGCGCTCATAAGAATCAATTTAATCGGTGGTCTATTATGCAGACGTCTTTCACGAAGAATTTGCTTCAATATTACTAGTAAAAAGTCCGCATTCATATCTCTTTCGTGTACTTCATCCACTACAATATGAGTGACGCCTTTCAACGCATCTATTCCATTTTTTTCATCATGCATTCGTCGAAGAAGTACTCCTGTAGTGCAGTATAAAATACTTCCGGTCGGTGCTGGTTCTACTGCGTCAAATCGAACGTGATATCCAACAGTTTGACCAAGTTTTTCTGAACGTTCATAGGCAACACGTTGGGCTACTGATATGGCAGCAATTCTTCGTGGTTGAGTTACGATAATATTACATAGTGAACCTCGCTGATTCATGATAGCATCTTCAAAAATCATTTGGGGTAACTGAGTTGTTTTACCACAGCCAGTTGATCCAACAATAACAATCACAGGATGGTTTTCAATTGCCTCAAGTATTACGTTAGAATAATGCGTAATCGGAAGTTGGTTGCGATTAAAGCGGATCTTTTCCGTTTGCTTAGAACACAAATAATGTTGGTGGTCTCGATAAAGCTTTTCTGATCTGGTGTTAAGATAGCGGGCTGTAAATTGACTCTTGTTCTTATTCTCTCTCTGATTTATTTGATCTTCAAAAGCTTGGTCGGATTTTGAACTATTATCTTGAGAATCAACTGATTTGTTGTCATCCGAACGAAGTATGCCAACATCGCATAGGTCATTGACCAGTCGATTAAGAGTATGAGTAACTGATTCACTTATTGAAGCATTTATTAACGGTGGTGGTTTGTTCGAATTTTTTACTTTGGTTTTATCAATTTCAAATCTCTCCCAAAGATTTGGTGAATCTTTACGTAATGCTATTGCGGCATCCAAATATGCAGCAGCTTGAGCTTCACGTTTGCTAGATCTTTTTCCTGAACCAATAGTTAAACCTTGAACAATCAAAGATGCCTCCCATAATGTACTGTGACTCGGTCCAATACTTCTGTAACCAAATTCTGGATTTTTGAATTTAAAGAATCTACAATAAAATCGGATAAAATTTCTTGCAACATCTTCCGACATCGTGTTACATTATTGAGGCTCAAGGCTTAATGATCCATTTGATTTCTCCATCTGGTCAACGTCAGAATATTATTCGACAATCAGTTCAACAAAGCTCAGATATTGATTATAAGAAGCAAGTGATTGAATATTGTGCAGCATTTGATTATGTTCCACATTTT